GATTTAACATGTACTGATAGATTCAAGAGATGAGCAGAACAAACCACTTACTTGGAAGGTCATTGTATTGAAAAGAGAAATTCCCTCTCCAGATGTCGATATTAGGTAAGAATCATTCTTGGACAGTGCAAAGCATGGAACCGCATCTTCAGGATTTATGAGACTAATATAATTGGTCACTGATATCCCACTACGTGGCTGCCATAGTTGTGGCACAGTATTTGTTCTTGCCTAAAAGAATCAAATTGCATTAAGAAAAAGCTACCGGTGCTAATAGAAATAGTGAAATCTGGGAAGCTTTCATGTGTACTAGACCAATACCTCCCCCGTTGGATTACATTCATTTTTTGGCCATTTCCAGAGTTGGTGTACAGCATTGGCATATAGAGACATTATGACATTTCCTGAATTGGCATACATCAACCTTGAAACCTAATGAATTGATAGAATAGAACAGAGGGGGCCTCACACGAGTCAGAGTAACATATAGACACCAGAAATAGGGGTTAACTATAACATAAAAAATCATAAATCATTAACAAAAACTAGATTAAATCGAAAGCAATGTCAATTTAAGGAATATATATATTTTGTTAAACAAAGTAAAAGTTTCCTCATTATCTTGTTAGTTCTTTTAGCTGTATCTTAGGCTTCACTAAGTTGTCCTGTTGCTTTGACACAGCACAAAAATTGATGAAACTTGAGTCTGGTGAAGTTTGTAAGAAACTATATGTTGAAAATGGAATGGAATAAATGCATTTTCCAACTGTCAAATTACAAGAAGTCAAAGATAACTAAAAAACAATTCAAGACGTTGAATCATTGTTATTCTAATTTCATGTAAAAAGTTCTGATTTTTTTTTCCTATCAACATGACTATTCACATAAAGTAAGAGCAATGCATGTGTGTTTGTAATGCTTTATATGAGAGAGGTGGGGATGTGGGATTGAGATATGAAGAAGGTTAGATGGAATGGATTGAGATATGAAGAAGGTCAAAATTAATTCCATTTCTCTGCAATAGCTAGGCATTTTAAATGGTTGACAGCTGAGTTAACTATTACCCTCATAGACACTAAACCATCCGGAAGTCTCAACGAGCGACATGATGACGGATCGTTCACTTGTTTCACTTTCCAAATAATGGGTTTCTCGGAGGACTCATCTGCAACTTTGCTCTTCCAATCTAACAAACTTTGGCTATCTTCATGCTAAAGAATTTGATGAAGAAAAAGATCACAAAGCAAATATGAAAAATGCAAACTAAAAAGTCATAGTAGTGCACACGAGGACTAATATTAAATGCAATATTATGAGCATACCTAAGCTGTGCACGCCTAAATAAAAAATATGCAAAATGGTATTTAACAATTGTGTCAAAGAATTTAATCAGAGGTTCAGAAATAGAGATATCCTTCTTAAAATTTTGAAAGCAGCATACCATTGAAACTGTGGATGTTGCGGGAGAAACTCGATCCTCAATGCTGGACTTAGTAGCATTAACATCAGCAAACATACTCATCGGGGGAAACTGAAGGTGCATAAAATATTTTAGCAAAAACAATTTATGAGAACCAATAACTTGTTCGTTTCCAAGAAATAGAACAAAAAACAAGGAAAAGATGGGAAATAAAGATGGCAATTCCTTACTTCATTTGATCTTCCCGAAGGGCTTGTTCTTTTCAAGACTTGTTCTGGATCATCATTTTGGTTGTCCTCAGCCGGGTTATTCATAGGAGTCCTTAAATGCTTCAATATATCTGTTACAAAGTAAGTTAGCATTAGCATGGATAAAAAGGTGCAAGTTAAGAGCTAGTTAAAAAGAGATGGAGGAGGGGTAGAAAGAACTGTTTTCATGTTTTTATCAACAAACCCTGCAGTGATATGCATGTTTCAACTTGCTAGCAAATGGAAAAAGTCTACAATCTATTAATACCAGAACAATCCCGGATATTGAAACCAATTGAACCAGCAGAAGCTGAAGGGTGAGGAACCGAAGATGGATCAGTCATCCATTCATCAAGGGAAGGAGAACCTGGATCTGGTTGAAATGCCTTCACGAAAAAGGACAAAAGTCAATCTCACATCTCTTGATAGTTGAAACAACCCAAATTGAATAGGTTTTTATATTATCTATTATAGCTTACAACATGAGCCCTCAAAAATGGGACTCCCGTAGGGATAGAAATAGCACCCAAATGCGGCGTCAGCCTAATTACAGGAGATGAAGCCCCTGCACCATTTGACTGTGAAGCTGTACCAGCATTCAAAATTGGATTAATTATAGAAGACGGAGCTCTTAGACCATTTGAATGTGAAGGTGGAACAGCACACGCAAGTGTATGAGTTACACACAAATGGTCCACAAACAGAGTTAATATGCCAGGCTTATGGTTCGGATTCTTGCAGAGCTGATGCTGCCACTTCAAACTCCAAGCCAACACAAAGGAAAATGCCAATGCTTAATCTTAACCTGAAGGTAAATGCTGATGTTACACATAGTGGAGAAACAAACCTCTGACGGAGTAGAGAAGTTAATCTTCCGTCCTTGAAGCTGGGAAAGTTCAGCTTATCATTGAACACGGGGTTTTTTTCTATAAGCTTCTTAATTTCAGCAAACACTACACCCCTGGAAGATTCAATGTCTCCATATCCAGATAATAGTTCATTCTCTCTGCATGTCATTGCAATCAAATCAACATTCTTGAAAATGAAAAAAATGCAAAATCCCATAAATAGATGAGCAATAGTGACAACCAGGAAAATAACAAGTTCTCTCATCAACCTGATGTTTTCAAGAACCAAAAGCTGTGCTAATTCTTTATAGAGGTCTTCATTAGAATCTAAAAGTACTTTCAAGTCCATTATTAAAATGTCACAAGCTTTATCCGGATCTTTCCTACAATAATGAAATTAAATTCAGATGAATTATGAGAATACAATAATCAACTCAAAGCTGACAAACTACTCAATGATATCAAGAAACAAATTCACCTGTCTAGGGCCTCCAGGTACTTTTGTTTTCGGATCTGAAAGATGATTGCCATAGAATATTTGTTTTCATCATACTTTGTGAACCCAGATATGTAATTTTCCACCTCGCCCCAATCCCCATTTCTTACTCTGTCCTCAAAATAATTCATATTGAAGTAAACTCCTGATTCTTGTTCCAATCTTAAATCACCACAAATAATTAAAACCATTAATCAACTAATTATATGAAAAACCACAGTGAAATATTGTAAAAGCCCTGTGTTTCCCAGAAAAAAAGAAGGATTCAACACTGAAATTTAATTTTTACTTGTGAAGAGCTCCGTTACATTTCTTTTCATTGAGAAATTGAAGTATCAAAAACACCATCTCTTTGTCGCACAATGACATGCTGGCTACCCCTACACTCTCCATAACTGCCAAAAACAAATGAAGAAATGACAATTTAACAATCCACTCAAACTGAAGAATTCCAATTCACTAAAATTGGAAAATTAAAATATAACATAAATTCAAACCAAAATCTCCTAATTCCAATTATCATATACATGCATGCATGTAAGCTTCCGATATATGTCTCTTGCATATATATATATTTGTGTACGCGAGCATACATATATACATGTTTTTGTATATACATATATACGTACAGAGAGAGCGAGAGAGAAGCGATATTTACCTTGAATCAATGAGAGAGAACAGAGCGGAGGGTTTCTTAGAGAGAGAACAAGGGTTTGAGAGAGAAATGGTAAGAGCGTATATAAGACTAATGCAGTTGATAAGTAAAGTAGTTATAATCTTGATTAGTTGTACTCCTCTATTAAAATATGATAAGTAGCCGTACTTATAAACACGTACTTATAAGTTCTATGAATGCAGTCTGATAAGTCATGTACTTATACTCTTGATTAATAATGCAGGACTAGCTTGAATTTATCGAATTTTGATTGATGAGCAACTAACTAGTATTTATCGAATTCTGATAAGTAGAAATGGATATATTTATTTCTTTCGCAGGGACAATATTTTTAAATAAAGTTCGTTCGTATGTAATAAATAAACTTGAAATGATAGGCAACGGATACCTTTAATTCAAAATACATTAGCATTATCCTTTACAATCCTTGAGATGGTAAATATTTTAATTTTATATGTATTATCGAATTCTGATAAGTAAAAGTAGATATATTTATTTCTTTCATAGGGACAATATTTCTAAATAAAGTTCGTTCGTATGTAATAAATAAACTTGAACTGATAGGCAACGGATACCTTAAATTCAAAATACATTAGCATTATCCTTTACAATCCTTAAGTTAGTAAATATTTTAATTTTATATTTATTTTTATTTATCTATTCAGCGAATGACCATTAGCATGTTGAAATGTTCGATATGTCAGCTTGAAATTCATATAATACTAACAACTACAGTCTAGGAGATGGAGCAGCAGGATTATGTTTGAGGATTGTATCTTCTGCATAGAGAAGACTATCCTATCGTCGATGCATATCTTGATTGGGATGATATACGCATATTTATTTCTTTCTCAGGGACAATACTAGGATCAAAGGGAATAGAAGTGTACAATAACCGTAACATTAAATAGGGAATAAACGAGACGATACAATTGACAAATACGGTTTCATTCAGAGATCCTTGGAAGAAAGAAGAGATGATGTTATAACCTATATACCGACAATGACGTAGAGAAGATTAGCATGCCCTTGCTAATCCAACAAAATACTTTCATAATCCGATAAAAATGTAAAAATATAGAGAAGATCTTAGCATGGCCGTGGGCAAGGACGACACCCACAATTCAAGAAATGGTGAAGAAAACCATATACAAGCTCTATAGGAAGCACATATCAACATGTTTAATCTTCTCCAAATGAAGAGAAGGTATTATTGAAAAAAAAAAAAAAAAAATCAGTAACTTTCCAGGGTAAAAACCAATTATATACATGAAGATTGAGAGTACGTGAAAGGAAACAAAAGAAGAAGAAATATGAGGACTTCATCGGTCATCATTCAACTGTAACCACGGACCAAAATCCCCATTGTTCATTGTAAAGATAACTACCTCTAAACTAACTCTAAGAAACTGACATACAACTATATCAACAGATTTTGGAGCCTTTCCTCTAGAAGAAAAAGAATGGTTTAACAGTACAAAAGAGCGAGAATTTGTTAAATTGATATCATGGAGAGACCGCTGTGTATAAACCCAGCACCGTTTACTAGTGGAGGTTAGAGGTACCACTTGCCTTCTGACTCTAGTGGCTCAAGTACATAGACACCACCATCAGAAAGTCCTACTGCAAATTGATTAGGCTTGGAAGGGTGCGCCGCAATAACTAAGGGATAGGCCTGTAAGCTGCAAAATCATATTACAAGATAATTACTTATAGTTAATCACGAACAGTTTTCTGATGATTGAATTCATTAAAATCAAATCCAAGAAATTTCAATGGTACGCACCTTGGATTGGCAAGTAAGTATAGAGAGGGATTGATTCGACATCTCAAACGCAGTGATGCAGCTGTAAGAACGCTTATACTTCCGCATTTAAAGCTGACATATATGGATTTGCTATCGCACGAATATGTAGCATACGTGATAGAGACACTTGCTTTTAGTGGCCACTATTTAGATAAGGAAAAAAAGAAAGTAATTGAATCAGAAGCCAAGGCAGAAACTATATACATTGTGAAACTACTTAGGAAATCTCAAGCAATATTCAAGAAAAATATGTCCATATGTACAAGTAGACGATATTGGTTAAACAGCAATGCAACAATATGCTACACCTTCACACGCCAATCCAAATTAGCTACTTCTGCTTCATATATTACTAGCTGTGTCTCTTGGACTGCTAGCAAATGTGTTTGATCTTGGTGAAATTGAACAAGGGTAGCTGCAAGAGAAGCACCAGCTGGGCTCCGTAAGTATTCATTTGTTTGCTTCTCCCATGTATCAGTGCTCCAAACACACAGCTGGGGAAACAAAAACGGGTCAGTTTACACAATTGTGGAGGCATCTGAGACACAAGCTGCATACCTGAGAATCAGCTCCTGAAGATACAAGAACGTTAAGAATATTAGAGAAGGCAAGGCCTGTTATCCTTTTTTGGTGAGCTTTGAGCTCGGTTTTGACCTGTTACAAGGGAAACGCAATGATAACATGTCTTGACTCGTCAATATATTTGACTCAAAAATTTAAGCCAGAAGTTCACCACTATATACTACCTCATTAGCCTCGACATCATATATTTGGATAGATGAGTCATCCAAGCCAATTGCTATGATGTTATTGTTTTGGGGGTGAAATGCCAGAAATGTTACTGCCGATGAAGGGAACTTGAATGATTTCTTTGTCTGTAGATAGAACGAGAATGTTGTAACAAGCAAGTTAAGAAGGTAAACAAATTGAGTGCAACTCATGTATACGAAAGAGAATGAATTGTTCGGTCCAGAAATTCTCATATCATATTAAACACTTTCAATATATTTCTAACAATTATGACAAGAAAAGACTCTGATTCAACACCTACAGATAATGCAAGAGATGAGCAGAACAAAAGCTACTTACTTGGAAGGTCAACGTATTAAAATAGGAAATTTCCTGTCCTGACGCCGACACAACATAAGAATCATTGTTGGACAGAGCAAAGCATGGAACAGCATCTTCTGGATTCATGCCAGTCATCAATCTCGCAGTACAGCATTGAATGCAATTGGCAGGGAAGTTTCCCAACGAATTACTGTCATTTTCTGGCGATTTCCACATTTTATGCACGGCATTAACATATAAAGCTAGTATGGCGGATCCTGAATTGGTATACATCAATCTTGGAACCTGATAGATTGAGAGAATGAAATTTAGAAGGACCTCATTGAGTGAGAGTCAGAAGCAGAAACCGGAAATAAACAACAAGAAAGTTTTTAAGAAAATCCAGAGTTCCCTACAAAGATTTTTCAAAATTAAAGCAATAATATATTTTAACAAATAACTTCAATTTTTCTTCTTTTTTCTTTCGTGTTTTTTAGAAATACCTTAAGCTACACTGTGGCCTGTTGCTTTGACAAAACACAGAATTGCTTGAAACTTGAAAAGGATGAATTTTTTAATGTTGGAAATGGAACTGAATAAGTTTTATTTTCAAACAATCAATTTAAGAAGTTGAATCATTGTTATTCTAATTTCACTTCTGATTTCCCTCTATCCACATGACCATGCACAAAAAGTATGAGCTGTGCATTATGTCTCAGTATATGAGAGAGAGGCGGTAATGGACAATGTCTAGGCATTTTAAATGATCGAGGGCAGAGTAACTAATACTTTCACCGCCACCAAACTATCTGGAAGTCTCAGGAAATGACATTCTGATGGCTTATTCACTTCTATCAGTTTCTGCAACCTAGATTTCCCGGAGGAACCATCTGCAATTCTGGGCTTCCCGTCTACCATATTTTGCCTATCTTCATTCTACAAGAAATTGATCACAAAAGTGAATACTATATATTGTAAACCAAAAAAATGTCATAGTAGTGCAGGCAAGAACTATTATCATATGAGATATTATGCAATGCACCTAAGTTATGCACACCTAAAAAAAAAAAGTGCAAAATGCTATTCAATCATTGTGCTAAAGAAATTAATCAGAGGTTTGGAAACAGATATATCCATCTTAAAAGTTTGAATGCAGTAGTATACCACTGGAGAAACTCGATCCTCAATGCTTGATCCAGTACTAGCATTATCATCACCAGATATACTTAGCGGGGGAGACTGAAGATGCATAAAACTTTTCAGCAAAGATAAGCACAAACTATAAATCAATATGAGAGATCAAGGTATGCAATATGTCAAAGCTTTAAACTATAAGAACCAAGAAAGTATCCATTTCCTAGAAAGAGGCTAATAATGATAAAATGAGGAATTTAGGATGGAAAATCCTTACTTCATTTGACATTTCGGATGATCTTGTTTCATACAAGTCTAGTTCTGAGAGATCATTCTGGTTCTCCACAGCTGGTTTATTTGTAGGAGTTGTAGGATGCTTCAAATTATCTGCTAGAAATTAAGTTAGCATGGCGAAAGGGTGCAAGTCACAAATAGACAGGAGCAAGGTGGAGAAAGAACTATCCCCTTCCATTTTTATTAACATATATTTTCACACTTCAGATTAACATTTCAATCCAAGACATGTTTCACATTTTTAGTAACATGTCAATCCAAGAAACTTATAAAATATGAATACCAGAATTGTTTTGGGTATTGAAACCAGCAGAAGCTGAAGGGTGAGGATTTGAAGCTGAAGGTTGAGGAAGAGATGATGGATCTTGAAATGGCTTCACAAAAAAGATAAAAGTGAATATCACATCTCTTGACAGTTAAAATAACCCCCCAATGCATAAGCATATCTCTTGCCCATTTTAGCTTACAGGTGGGGATTCCACAGGCTTAGGAACAGAGTGTGAAGGTGAAACAGAAGCCAAATGGTGCTGCAAGTTCAAACTGCAGGTCAACACAGAAGAAAATGCCGATGTTTATCTCAGCCTGAAAGAAAACGCTGATATTACAAATAGTGAAGAAATAAACCTTAGTGTCCCTAATGCTGAGGGATCGAAGGTGGGGAATATCAGCTTATCACAGAACACGGGATTTTCTTCTATAAGCTTCTTAACATGAGCAAGCATTTCGCTCCTAGCATTGATTAGGTCTCCATACTTGGATACTTCCTTATCCTCTCTGCATGTCATTGTATAAAATCAGTATAAGCATCAATGAAAAATCCTGTGAGGAAGAAAAGCTAAGCCAAGTATTCAAAACACTCTTCATTATCATTAAAATGTCAAAGGCTTTAGCCCAATCCTTCCCACAATTATGCATTCAAAACTCAAAAGCATATGAATTCATGAGAGTATGAATACTAATACAAAACTGACAAAATATTCTATGAGATCAAGAAACAAACTCACCTGTCCAGGACCTCTAAGCACTTGTGTTCTTGGATCGCATTAAAGATTTTCTTGGAATTTGTGTTCTCATCAGGCCTTGTGAACCCAGATAAGTAATTTTCCACCTCATCCCAATCCCCATTAGTTACCCTCTCCTCGAAATAGGGCATACTGAAGAAGATTCCTGATTCTTGTTCCAATCTTAAATCACCATAAAGAACTCAACCATTAATTCACCAATTACATGAAAGATCCCCAAATATCAACAATATTCAACCAAAAAACATCATTATTATAAACATATCTTGAATTTTTGAACACCCATGTTTCTTTGGTGAATTAATTATGCTAATTAGACGGTAAAGAATCATAAATAGATCTTAAAAAGAATCTATTAATCTAAACGTAATTATTAATTTTCCCAATTTTCTCAGCAATCAAAACAACGAAAAATTCCAAAACATGAGAATGAAAGTAAAATAAAATATAGGAAAACAGTCTAAATTTATCTAACCCTACTGTTTACATCTAAAATTAATAATTAAATTCCCCAATTTCTTAACATTCAGAACTCCAAAAAATCCCAAAAATAACGTTAAAAATTAAAAATTGAATCCTTACTTGTGAGCAGCTCCTGTGAAATTCTTTTTATCAAGAAACTGAAGTATCAAAAACAACAGATCTTTTTCCAAAGACGACATGCTCGCTTCCCCTCAATAAAAAACCTGCCAAAAAGAATAAGAAAACCCACTAAGCTGAAAGATCAATTCTACCTATACATACACGCATGCATGCAAGCTTCCTATCTGCGTATCTTTGTTTACATATATACATATGTGAAAGTGTCTATACAGAGAGAGGGGTTTGTACCTTGAATGACTGAGGAAAGAAAGAGGACAACTCGGAGGGTTTTTCTGTAGAGAGAGAAAGGAACACTGTATGTTTACTGGAGTTTCTCCTGCAGAGTCAGAGTTTAGAGTGAGAGAGAAAAAGGAAATAGTGGGAAATGGTTAGAATGTTGATAAGTCGGTAATATAAGCACATTTGAATAGTTTTGATAAGTTGTATGCTGTATCGAATTCTGTATGCTGCTCACATGTTTAGAAAATTAACATGCACAAACTGGATGCTCAAGCCTATGGCCCACAAAAAGGTAATAGGCAACGTGTGTAATTGTTGTAGAGAAGGCAAAAACGGAAATTAAGTGGAAAAGAAACGTGACAGCACACATCATCCACAGTGGTTGCTTTTGGCTGCTGATTATATAATCAATAAACAACCTTTTTTTAATAAACTTACATTTTTTTTTTTTTTTTTCTCTCGGAGCATAGTCTAATAGTGCAAAGAACAGGAGTAAAATTATTTTACGCCTTGCTGACAGCCGCAGTATGGGGGTTTAATTCTTGAGACATGAAAATGAACTTCTTGTAGGCGCAGTATACAGACAACTTTTGTTCTCTGACCTATTAGGACATATCTCGTGATTTACCTTTCTCACAAAACTTTAGGGACAAAACAGTGGAGCCCCCAAAGTTGGGGTTCAACCTTTAATAAACAACTGTTCCATAAAATGGTAAAAAATAAATTGCAGTGAAGTCAATCAGGCAATTAGAATTGTTTTTGCATAATTACAATTTTGCCCATCTCCATTTGCAGACAAGTGTTACTGAAAGGGTAAATAGACTTTGTTGATATAGCCACTATTTTGTTGACTTTAGTACCTTTGATTGTTGCCATAGTTGACCACAGGTTCCGCGTGATTGGATAAAGAATAACATTATTCGTACATAATTTTTTATATATTAAGATGTTTTACACTCATATGAGTTGGGACGTGTGGTGTCCCACACTCACATGGGATGGGATCGCGCATCCCAATCCATGTGAGTATGAGACACTTTGATGTACAAAAAATTATATACATCAAGGAAAACTCTTGGATAAAATACTCTCTCCTTTTTTTTTGTCGTCTAAAATAGTGCGGCCAAACATGCCCTATAGGCTATATAACAATTGGATAACTCCGTCTCCATCCACGAAAGAAAACATGTTTGCCCCCACACAAAAGCTAAGAAAATTTAATGTTTGGTTGTGAAATTATGTACATCAAGCAAAACCCTTGGATAAAAACATTCTCCCTCCTTTTTTTTTTTTTTTTGTCGTCTAAAATAGTGCGGCCAAACATGCCCTATAGGCTATATAACAATTGGATAACTCCGTCTCCATCCACGAAAGAAAACATGTTTGCCACACACAAAAAGCTAAGAAAATTTAATGTTTGGTTGTGAAATTATATACATCAAGCAAAACCCTTGGATAAAAACACTCTCTCTCCTTTTTTTTGTCGTCTAAAATAGTGCGGCCAAACATGCCCTATAGGCTATATAACAATTGGATAACTCCGTCTCCATCCACGAAAGAAAATATGTCTGCCACACACAAAAAGCTAAGAAAATTTTAATGTTAGAAGAATGTTTTTTTAAAAGAAAACTGACACTAGGATCCATTTGGCAGAAAAGTCAAAAGTTGTTTTTGAGGTTAAGTAGCCACTTTTAAACATGTTTGAATAAATTTTGGGAAGTGCTTTGATCGGATTCTGGAGAAAAGCTTTTAGACAAAATTGATCGAATATAACTTTCTCATGAAACTTCTCTATACAAGAAACAAAAGCAAAAGCTTGTCAAACGAATCTTAAGACAATTTCCTCATTAATTTTGAGCTTAAATTGACGAACAAAGATCATAATGTACAATGCAATCATTTAACCAAATGAAATGGCAATTCGTGAGTGGTTAGATACTCACAAATTACTGATTTCGTGCTTGTTGAATATTTGTATGGAGTGTTTGTTGCTAACAGGTGGAATCTAGATAGTAATCATAGTTTAGGAATATAATCTCAACCACTAGTCCCAATAAAAGACATTGCACTACTCGTGACACATAGGAAAAAATTACCTACATTGTTTCGAAAATTTAGTCTCAAGTAATCAGGTTATATTTGTCACAAATACTTAGAAGACAATCTAACGAAGAAGAAGGCTACCTACAATGTAAAATAAAAACTACCTTTAAAAATCAAACAAAAGATTCCTTTTTTTTATTTTTTTTATAAAGGGAGACTAAAAAAAATACACATACTAAATGTGTTGAAGAAGCAGAAAAATAACTATGGGCAATGTTCTGCCAAGCTATGCCTTGACGATTAATTTGAAGTGTAGATTTTTAGTGAATTTATTATTCTAGTTGAAGTTTGGAGGTTGGGACACTCTCACGTATCGAGATAGTCACTTCTGTTGATGAAATCCAAAATATACTTGAGTGGAAAAGCAATCAATAATGTGTAAACATCTTTACAATAAATACTCTGATGAGTGATTGAAAAATAAGCTTAGGGGTGTGCATCTCATGAGAAAAGAAAGGAAAATTTTAATATTGAAATTCGAGAAAATAACCAACCTAAAGGTCTATGATGATTAGGTCGATTATGCGTACACAAACATTGATTGGCCATGGATTAAGAATAAAATTGGTTTTTGTATCATTACTTATGAGATTTTTATGAATTGCTCAAACATTATCAATACTTGAGGAAAATACGTCAAGTTATTCAGTTCATTGATTTTTATTGGAGGTTTTCTTGTGTATTTTAATTATAGGTAAATTTCAACTTTAATGCAATTGTCAAGAAAATACAAACTTGGAGCTTAATTGGAGTTAATTTTGATCTTCGTATTCGAATATGTATTTTCTAAATCTCAGATTGATATTAAAATGGCTGATTGTAGAGGGATTCGAAGTCCTAGTAATTTTCATAACGCTTCCCATAATTTATCTAAATCAGTTAATTTTGACATAGATTTTAGATTGTCAATATAAAACACTTTAAAGATCTTGCTATTTGAGTGAAGTTAGGTTTAACTAATATATTTAGTCCGTGCACCAACAATACTTCACTCATTCTTTATTATTTGACTACGACACCGTGCACTTGCAGGATTTTAGCAAACAGAAAGCACATATCAAAATGCTTAATCTTCTCCAAATGAAAGAGATGGTAATATTGAAAATATCAGTAACTTTTAAGGGTACAAACTAATTACATACATGAAGTTTCATGGAAGGAAAAAAGTTAGAAGGAGGAGAAGAAATTTGAGGCAGAAGCTATGCCCAATCTACCTTGCTGACTCCTTGAAGGACTTTGAATGACCTTCATCGATCATCATTTTACTGTAACAATAACTACCAACTTGACCCCAACCTCTAAACTAACTCCTAAGAAACTGACCTACAGCTATATCGACAGCTTTTGGAGCCTTTCCTCTGGAAGAAAAAGAATGGTAACAGTGCAAAAGCACAAGAATATGTCGTGATATCATGGAGAGGCTGCTGAGTATAAACCTATCACCTTCGAGGTTAGGGATACCACTTGCCTTCTGATTCTAGTGGCTCTAGTAGATAAACACCACAATCAGTAAGTCCGACTGCAAATTGATTAGGCTTGGAAGGGTGCGCTGCAACAACTAAGGGATAGGCCCGTAAGCTGCAAAATGGTAATACAAAATAATTAGTATGGCGAAGAAAATGTACTTACAGATAATCACGAACAGTTTTCTGGTAATTGCATTCATTCATTGTAACTTGATTAAAAACAAATTCAAGAAATTTCAGTAGAGGCACCTTGGATTGGTAGGTAGGTATAAAGAGGGATTAATTCGACATCTCAAATCAAGTGATGACGCAGAAAGAACACTTATTCTTCCACATTCAAAGCTGACATATATGGATTTGCTATCGCAAGAATATGTAGCATATGTGATTGAGCCACTTGCTTGTAGTGGTAGCACCCACTATTTAGATTATGAAAATAAGAAAGAAATTGCATCAGAAGCCAAGGCAGGAACTATATTCGTAGTCAAAATACTTAGGAGTTCTCAAGCAATAACTCGAGAAAAATGTCATCTACAAGTAGATGATATTGGTGACAAACAAATGCAACTATACACTACACCTTCATATGCCGTTTCAAAGCAGGTACTTCATAGATTACTATCTGTGTCTCTTGGACTGCTAGTAAACATGTTTGATCATGGTGAAATTGAACACGGGTATCTGCAAGAGAAGCACCAGAGCGACCAGCTGGGCTTTGCAAGTATTCATTTGTTTGCTTCTCCCATGTATCAGTGCTCCAAACACACAGCTGGGTAAACAAAAACGGGTCAGTTTCCTCTAATAGGAACTTTAGTTTACCAATTGTAGAAGTATCTGAGACACAAGCTGTTCACCTGAGAATCAGCTCCTGAAGATACAAGCACATTAAGAATATTAGAGAAGGCAAGGCCAGTTATCCTTTCCTGATGAGCTTTGAGCTTGGTTTTGACCTGTTGCAAAGTTAACGCAGTGATAAATTCGATTGACTCGTTAAGATGTTTGACTCAAATTTAAGCCAGAAGCTTACTATACCTCATTAAATGTGGCATCATATATTTGAATAGATGAATCATCGCTGCCAATTGCTATGATGTTATTGTCTCGGGGGTGAAGTGCCAAAAATGTTGCTGCAGGTGGAGGAGACATGATTGTTTTTATTGTCTGTTGGTAGAACAAAAATGTTATAACAAGCAAGTTAGGAGGGGAACCACATTGAGTGCAACTCGTGTCTACGAAAGAGAATAAATTGTTTGGTCCAGAAATTCTCATCTCATATCAAACTGTTTTCAATATGTTTTAACAAATTATGAGAAACAAAAACTCTATATGATCCAACATTTTAAATGCATGAGATTAGCAGAACAAAAGCCACTTACTTTGAACGTCCCCATATTAAAAAAGGAAATTTCCCCTCCTGACACCGACATAAGATACTGATCATTATTGGACAGAGCAAAGCAATGAAAAGCATATTCCGGATTCATGCCACTAGTCTCATTGGTCATCATTGTCCCACTACGAGGTTGCCATAATTGAGGCACTAACCTTGCTCTTGCCTATAAGAATTGAATTGCGTTAAGAAGATACTGCTGGTTTTACGAGAAATAATGGAATCTGGGAAGGTTTCCAGTGTAATAATGGTACTGATATACCTTCCCCATTGAATTACTGTCATTCTCTGGCCATTTCCAGAGTTTATGTACAGCATTAACATATAGAGCCAGTATGGCAGATCCTGAATTGGTATACATCAATCTTGAAACCTGATAAATTGAAAATAAAATTTAGAAGGGCCTCATTAAGTGAGCGTCAGAAGCACAAACCAGAAATAAATGTTGAAACTATAAGAAAGTTTTTAAAGAAAACTAGAGTTAGCTGCAAGAATTGTCAAGGTAAAGAAAATAATATTCTTTTAACAAATAACTTCAAAGCTTCTTCTTTGTCTTGCATGTTTTTCAGCAGTACCTTAAGCTAACTGGTGGCCTGTTGCTTAGACAAAGCACAGAGTTGATAGAAACTTGAATGTGGTGAATTTTTAATGTTGGAAATGGAACTGAATAAATTATGAGTATTACGATTTAGAATGACTGGTGTTCAACACAATTCTAGGCGGCTGTACTTGTATCATTAAATTATATGTTTAATTAAAAACAAGGATTTATGGCTCATTTGAAAGGACATATGAAATGCTGTACCTAAATTGGTGTTCAATACCATTGGTGCTAGATAGTATTATTCATTATGTTATTAAACAATCAATTTAGGAAGTTGAATCTCTTTTATTCTAATTTCGTATAAAACGTTTTGAGTTCTCTCTATCCACATGACCATGCACATAAATTCTGAGCTATGCGTTATGCCTCAGTATATGAGAGGGGGGATCGCCAAATTAATATCTGGGCAAAAATCTATCGATGTACTTTAAATGACCGAGAACAGAGTTAACTAATACCCTCATCGCCACCAAACTATCTGGAAGTCTCAGTATACGACATTTTGATGGCTCATTTGCATCTATCAGTTCCCGCGATCTAGATTTCACAGAGGACTCACCTGCAATTGTAGGCTTCCCATCTTTCAAATTTTGCCTATTTTCATTCTACATGAAATTGATCACAAAAGTGAAGATTATATAATGTAAACTGAATAGTCGTAGTAGTGCAGACAAGAACTATTATCTTATGAAATATTATGCAATGCACCTATGTTATGCACGCCTAAATAAAAAATATGCCAAATTGCTATTCAACCATTGTGTCAAAGAAATTAATCAGATGTTTGGAAACAGAGATATCCATCTTAAAAGTTTGAAAGCAGCGTACCATTGAAACTGTGGGTGCTACTGGAGAAACTCTATCCTCAATATTTGATCCAGAAGAAGCATTAACATCATCAATTGTACTTATCGCAGGAGTTGAAAGCATAAACTGTAAACCAACATGACAGACCAAGGTGTACAATATGTCGAAGCTTTAAACTATAAGAACCAAGAAAGTATCTATTTCTAGAAAGAGGCCAACACGAATATGAGGAATTTAGGATGGTAAATCCATACTTCATTAGACATTTCCAATCGTTTTGTTCCCTTCAAGAGTAGTTCAGAGTGATCGTTTTGGATGTCTACAGCTGGTTTATTTTTAGGAGTTGTAGGATGCTTCAAAACATCTGCTAGAAATTAAGTTAGTAACAAACAGACAGGGGGAGGTGGGGCAAATAACTATCTTTTTACATTTTTATCAACATACGCTTCCACGCTTTAGACTAATGGAAAAGTTAGAATTTATGAATACCAGAATTGTTTTGGGTGTTGAAACCAATTGGACATGCAGAAGCTGAAGGGTGAGGAACTGAAGATGGATAACTAGCTGAAGGTTGGGGAGCCGATGGTGCATTAGTCACACATCCCAAGGGAGAAGTTGGCAGAGGACCTTGAGCTCGAAATGGCTTCACAAAAAGGATAAAAATTCAATTTCTTATCTCATCATTAAAACAACCCCAATGCATAAGCATTTTTCTTGCCTATTTTAGCTAAGCTTACAGTTGGGAATTCCGCAGGCTTAGGAACAGCACCCTGAAGCAGACTAGTTATGGCACTAGTGGACTGTGAAGTTGGAACAGCAGCCAAATGATTCTGCAAGTTCAAACTGAAAGCCAACACAGAAAAATGCCGATATATATGTCAACCTGAAAGAAAATGCTGATTTACAAATACGGAAGAAATAAACCTTAGTCTCAATGTTGAGGGATTGAAGATGGGGAGCTTCAGCTTATCACGAAACACAGGGTTTGCTTCTATAAGCTTCTTAACATAGGCAAACATATAGCCCCTAGCGTTAATTAGCTCTCTGGATACTTTCTCATCCTCCCTGCACGTCATTGTATCAAATCAACATTCTTGAAGATAAATCAATGCAAACTCCCATAAATGATAAAGATATAATGACTACCAAGAAAAGTACTACTACTCTCTCACCTGATATTTTCAAGAAAGTTAATTCGAGTTAAATATTGAAGTAAATCACCTGTCCTGGGCTTCTAAGTTCTTATGATGTTGGATCACTGTGAAGATATTCGTGGAATTTGTGTTATCCTTAAGCTTTGTGAACCCAGATAAGTAATTTTCCACCTCATCCCAATCCCCATTGGTTACCCTGTCCTGGAAATAGGGCATACTGAAGAAGATTCCTGACTCTTGTTCCAATCTTAGATCACCACAAAGAATTCAACCATTAATTCACCAATTATACAAAGGATTTCCCAATATATCAACAATATTCAACAGAAAAATATGTAATTATTATAAACAAATCTTGAATTTTTGAAAACCCATGTTTCTTTAGTGAATTAATTAAGCTAAAGAATCATACAATAGATCCTATTAAGAATCTTTTAATCCAAAAATAATTATTGATTTCCCCATTATCTCAACAATCAGGAAACTTAAAATATCCAAAAATGAGAATGAAAGTAAAATTAAATATAGAAAATCGAATCCTTATTTGTTAACAGTCTGAATTTATCTAACCCAACTGTTTTGATCTATAATTAATAATCAATTTCCTCATTTTCTTAACAATCAAAAAACTAAAAAAATCCCCAAAATAATGTTCGATATTGAAATTTGAATCCTTACGTGTGAACAGTTCTTTTGAAATTCTTTTCATGAAGAAACTGATGTATCGAAAACAACAGATCTTTTTCCAAAGACGACATGCTCGCTTACGCTCAATAACCAACCCTGCCTAAAAAGAAATGAAAATCCACAAAGATGAAATCTCCATTCCACCTATACATGCATGCATACAAGCTTCCTCTCTACGTGGGTTTGTACCTTGAATGAATGAGGAGAGAGAGGACAACTCGGAGGGTTTTTCTGTAGAGAGAGAAAGGAAAGGAACACTGTATGTTTACTGGAGTTTCTCCTGCTGGAGCTTTAGAGTTTAGAGTGAGAGAGAAAAAAGAAATAGTGGGAAATGATAAGACCGTTGATAAGTTTGTAATATAAGCATATTGAATATTTTTGATAAGTTGAATGCTTTGCTGTATTGAATTCTGTTAAGTTAGTTATAAGCTTTTAAGCTCATATAAAACGGTTTAAGTAAATATATTAAGAGCCTGTTTGATAGTGATTACAAGAATCAATTTTTCGACTATTAGAGTGAAAGTGGGTTCCATGTGTGAGTAAAAAAATCAAAAATGACGGCTGAAAAAGTGAAATAACGATAAAAAAAATTGATTTTTTGAGATGAAAATTGCTACCAAACGAGGCTAAGGCTCGTTTTGTCAAGGTTAAAAAGTAAAAAGTTGCTTATAGACCTAATAGGTTGCTTTTAAACATATTGGTGTTTGATAGTCATTTTTATGTAAATATGCATTTTAGAATAGTAAATTGATATGAAATGTGTGGTTGAAAAATAAGGAAAAGTTTTTTATTTACGTGTAATATTATTTTAATAAAAAATATGCAGTTAAAAAGAAGAAAGAGAAAAATGCAATTTGAAAAAAATAGTTACCAAATGGGGCCTTGGATAATTTTTAAAAGTGTAAATGTAACCATTTGTTAAGACTTTTGAAAAGTTAAATTTTGTTTTAAAAATAATAAGTTACTTTTTTGAGCATGTTCGGATTATATTCTGAAAGTATTTTGTCTGGTTAAGAGAACTTTTAGAAAAAGTTGACTTAAAGTAATTTTCTAAAAAAATACTTCTACAAGAAGTAAAATTAGGAAAAAAAAAATAAAATGAAAGTCCAGCCAAATGAGCTATATGATAGCTTCATAAAAAAGTGCTTCTACGAAAAACAGAAGCAAAAATGTAAACCATGCCAAATGGATCCTATAACTATGAGTAGGTTGCACATTATTAAGGTTGGCAACGGTTCGGTTCGAAAAAAACCATCACCGAATCACCAATTTTTTGGTTATATCATAACCGTACCATAACCAAGGAAGTCGGGTCGGTTCGTATTTCGATTTGGCTTGGTTCGGACAATTAATAACCACAAATAGGAGCAAATCCAGGATTTTGACCCAACTAGAGCAATCGTTAATCGTCAACAATCAACATGCGTATAGCGATATCATTTAATAATATCAAACTAAATAATATTAAAATTTATTCTATCTATATGTAAATACACTAAAATGTAAAAAACGTATATTTATTTCAAGTTACAGTACAATACAATTCGAAATAACATAAAATAAATGATACATGAGACTTTTTGTGTTATCAATGCTCAATAAAACGTTTGCTTGACTAGAAGTAATTACGAGATTAAATGCACCACTACAAAAATTAGGTTGGGACATCAATTGAAAACATAATTTCACAATTTGTATTAGAATTAAAATTAATTTTAAAATATAATTAAAATTTCAATTTTCAATTCTCCGCACCAATTTATCACAAATTATAAATTCTCCAATTTCTCATTTTTAATTTTCACAAATCACATAATCACACACAATACTCAAATTAATCTTTAATATCACAATTCACAGTTAATATATTCTTAAATTCTCATTTAACACATAAATAAATAAAAAATACTAAGTCAATTTAACAAACAATATTTCAAATGAAAATGCAAACAATATCTCAATTCCCAAATATAAAATTCGAATTTAACAAACAATATTATCAACATAACAATATTAAACAATATTCTTGTCCCTTAATCCTCATGCATCGAACTTGATTCCTATTCAATAACTCGAAAGCTCCAACATCAATTCATATCCATTCATTGAAAGAATAATGGAAAGCTCAATTGTCTAATTTTTTTTAACGGGTACTTATAAAAAAAAATTAACGGGTAATCGGTTCGAGGGAGTTGACGACGTAAATACCATAACAGCCCTTCCCCAAACCAGATCATTAAAATCAAATATTATATCCACCACATTGCACCATTGGTTCGATTTTTTTCTCCCCATTCGATTTGATTAATTGTGATTTTCGATTTCGATGATTCGAGTTGACATCCCTACACATTATCACCAATTCTAAAAGGAAAATATAGGGGTTGCACCTTATCTTTTTTCATTTATTTATTTTCGAGATAATAGCAGTGTGATAAATTAGCAGTTACATCTTATGGTGATAAATTAGCTAAAAGATACAATGGAGAAATTAAGGGTGTGTTCGATTTTCTATTTTCAAGTTGTTTTTAGTTTTCGATTTGTAAAACATTCAAAACTTATTTGGTTTAATATTTTGGAATTGCATTTTCGAAAAGATTAAACTTATAACATAAACTTCAATATATATCTCTTTGAAAACATAAAAAACACGGTAAACAAATGTTTAAATAAAAATCTTTAAAAAAAATAAATTAAAAGCACTTCTAAACACTTAAATTTTAAAAAATTAAAAATTAAAAATTAATATTAGATTTTTCAAAAAAAAATTTGGATTTTTGACTTTACTCTGAATTTCATTTTAGGTCTTGTTTCTTTGAGGTGAAACGAAAATATTTTGCAGAACAAATAAAGGATACTAAACTAAAATAAAAAGATCAAGTATTAAATGTGAGGTACAACGACATGGTAATTATTGCTAACCTTCTTAAGGTTTATTTATTGCTCATATGGAGGGAAAATGGTATTTCAAAGTTTGGAGTGTAACTTCATTATGTTCACTTTATTGTTTGTGTTTGATGATTTTTTTTTCATATTAATCCAAAAATTTATAATAAAAAGAAAAAGAATTGAAAAATTAATAATAATAAAAAAGGAGAATTTACAAAAATGTCACAAAAAATGAAAGTTTCAAAAAAAA